AAAAAAAAAAAAAAAAAAAATAGACTTTATTTAGCTTTAAGTTTTTTTGCGTTTAAAGAAAATATCTTTAAACGCGAAAAAACTTAAAGCTAAATAAATTACATATAGAACAAATATTTTTAAAACATCGCTCTTTTATAATTTTTTTTATAAAATTAGGCGATGTTTTTTATATAAAGTAACAACTTACGATTGTTTAAAAGGGAAACAAATATTCTTTATTTAACTAAGTTTGCAAGTTTTAATTTTATTTAAGCTAAATTATTTTATAAACAAAAAAGTTAATTTTTTTAATACCTATTTTATGTTTCTCGTAGTTTGAAAAGTTTAACATATTTGAAGCGATTCTTAGTAAGATAAACAAATGAAATAATTAAATCATTGAATTACTATAGGAATTAAATTATCAAGATAGAAATCAACTAAAAAGGTTAAAAATATATAATGACCAGGAAGCGAAACTGCTTCAAAATATCGCTGATGATGTTTAGTGAGTGGGCTTTTTAATTTTAATTAGTATTTAAAGCAGAAAAAAGTATAACGAGTTTTAAGAATAGCAACTTAAGCGAAAATAATTAGATCTAGTAAACCAATATATAGAAACTTTACGTTATATCTAATAATTTGCTATATATATTTGTGTTCTGTCGTGACCTCAGGCGCGATGCTTGTTCATCCGCGAGTTACTTTGTATGCGTTGTTTGTGTTTAGTAACCAGAAACTTCTAATATGTTTGTTACATAATTAGTTTTATTAACTTTAACGATTATAACTTCATTGAAAACGCAATTATTTTTGTAAGTCTTTGTTTAAATAATAAAATTGCTTTAAAAGATACATTAAGATAAAAAACAAATACACAAAATTACATTTACATAAAGAATACAATCTCTTTTAAAATAAAAAATAAGAATATACTAATAAAATCTATGATTTATAATAAACTTTTATAATTTTATCAAGTTAATTAATATATATTTAAAACATTTATTTTCGTAAACAAATAATATATATTCTTAAAACAATGCTAGAAATCTCAAAACGTAACAAATCGTGAATAATACAATTTCTAAAACATTTTAACAGAATACTCTAGAACTTTATTTCGCTTAAACAGCGTATTTTTTGAACTGTTGAATTAGTTTGTTCGTTAATTTAGCGGGTTTTTAGTGTTCGCAAATATTTTTTTTATTCTTTCGCACAAAGATGTTTTTAGAACATTTAAGTTTTTTATGCTTCCATGTATGTCCGTAAAACAAAATTTTTTGTTTCGTACATGAACTTAAATGTTCTCAAAACGACTAAAAACCTGGCCAGTTTTACGCAACTAAATATAATTTCCGTGGTCAGTATTCGAGAGCGATTGCTCCCGCTTCCCGACCAAGCCTGTAACTATTGTCAATATTTTGCAAGAAAATCATCTCGTGTGAAAACTAACCAAGATTTGTTAAATCGACTACTGTGTACATCTGATCCATTTATTGCATCTCTGAGAAAGACAGCAGGAACTCACACCAAAACCAAAAACTTACCAGCTGGAGTTATTGACTTGTTGAGGTCATCCATAGATGATATTAGTTTATAAATGTGTCTTTTGTATCTTTATAATTTTGGAATGTGTGTACCTATATGAAAGTGTGACTGTAAATTAAAACAAATAGTTATGCTCAATCCGATTAGAAACATCAAATTAATTTGCATACAAAGTTTAGAAACATTTGGCTAAAAATAACCATTTGGAACTAAGCGTATATATGTGTTGCTATGCAACTGGGGTTGCCTTGGCAACCCCAGTTGCATAGCAACACAAAAAAAATTGTGCTCATTCAAATTGTAATCATCCAATTAATTTATATACCAAATTTTTTGAGGCCTATGGAGGAAAGGAAAAAAAGTTATAACTTTTTTCCAAAAACATGGGATTCTGGCCCACTGTGCAGGTTGAAACCACAGATTGAAACCATAGATTTAGTTATGCACTTGCTTAATCATTTAGAAAGTATTGAAAAGAGTTCTGGAGTACACTTGTAAGTCAGGATTGTAGTCTGGACAAACTATAGAAGAATTTAAGTAAGATATAAGTTTAGCTACTTCAGTAATTTGGATATCTAACAATGGATTACCTGATTCGGATATCTAATAATCGGATACCTGTTTTTTTTGATTGACAGATAAAGTGTGGTCATAGGTTTAATAGTCATAGATGAATTAGAAGAAAAGTTCTTTGCAAATAGTTTTTGTTCTTTGGAGAATAAGACCAGACCTATAAATGAGAAATGAAATATGTTCTTTGGAGAATAAGACCAGACCTATAAATGAGAAATGAAATATGTTCTTTGGAGAATAAGACCAGACCTATAAATGAGAAATGAAATTTTCTCTCTATTAATGTTAAAAACATTTTAAGTCTCTAGAACCATACCTGAGATACAGGATTTAGTAATATGAGTATCCTTAGTAACAGACAGTACCTTAGTAACAGACAATACCTTAGTACCAGACAACATCTTAATAACAGACAATACCTTTTTTCATATTTACTTCTAATAATACAGGGAGGAACCCAGACCTGTTTTGGTACTGCTGGAATATTTATTACTTGTTATTTTTCTTTTGCTTTTAAAAAAAGAGTTTCTGTTTCAAATGCAGTAGTAAATAACTCATTTTCTGTTTATTTTGGTGAGTTCATTTTTGTTTCAGGACAATAAAAATAGATTAAAAAGTAATTATGTGTTATACCTCATTTAAAGTTTAAAACTGTTGTTTGGTTACTAAACAAAGGTTAGATTTTAAAAAAATGAATTAAAACTTATTACAAAACTCAATTTAGATAATGAAATATATGAAAAATTTATTTTTTCAAAAAATAAAACAATTTTAAAGTACTCATTCAGAATATTGTTAACTTTTGCTTGTTGGCAATTAAGAAAAAAAAAAGTAAAAATTTCAGTCCTAATAACTGTACAGTAATTGCACAAGTAATTGTGCAAGTTTAATTTTTAAATTAATCAACTTTTGATCTTTAGTTTGGTATTTTATTTTACATTCTTAAAACATGTAATATAAAGTGAAATATAAAATATTTCAGAAAGTTTTGTTTTTTCTCATATTCTTTTCAACTTTAATAAAAATAAAAATAACAATTTTAAGATGGTAGACTGCTAAAAAAATTATTTTTGTATTTTACAATATTTCAATAGATTTTTTTACTTCAAACATGATAAATACATTAGAAAACTTATATATATATATATATATATATATATATATATATATATATATATATATATATATATATATATATATATATATATATATATATATATATATATATATATATATATATATATATATATATATATATATATATATTTAGGGAAAAAACAGGTATTTTTAAAAAAACAGGCTAAAATCTTGGCAAAAATACCTCAAAAAGTATAATTTATTAAGTTCTAATTTTTTGTATTTTTATTTGTTCTATGTAGATAAATGTCCTGAGATAAAAATTTTTGTTGAAAATTTCTTTATTTTGAAGCATCGTTAGATTTTTCAAAGCGCCCAATTAAAAATTGAATTTCTGATATTAAGAACCAAAATTTTGTTTTTTTAAAAATTTATATTCTAAATTTATTTTATCTCAGGACATAAAGCTTATAATAATGAATATCTGGAAAAAATTTTAAGTCAATTGGACTATTACAGCTCCTGCAATCTTTGCCAGAAAATTAGAAGAATAAAACAGAGAAAAATGCATATAAAATTTAAAATATTGAATATACCAACTTATGAAAACAGGTTAAAATCCCCCTTTTTTACATACTGTCCCTCTTAATCATTGTATTTATTATCAAACCCTTTCCTAGTTGCTTTAAGATTTTTTCTTTGTTTTTTAATTTTTTTTTAATTTCTAACCTTAACTAGCCATTGCTATGAATGTTGCTAGGGAAAACAAAATTACCCTGTTAAAATAAATAACTTTTATTAGTTCTAAATTTGTTTTTCTCATATGAAGATCTACAACAGTTACTGTTTAAAACAATTTTTGATAAACTTTTTTATCAGTCTACCACCTTAATAACCTATTAAAAATTTTATATTAAGTTTTAATTATTTTTAAAATTTCAGCCATGTCTTTCATGTTCCATAGAAAATGTAACTTATTTAATGTACAGAATTTTTATGAATATTTATACTTTTTTAATCATAAAGTTTACCATAACTATCTCTTATTTAAAAGATGCCTTGAAGCATTGTGAAAGTTATTAACATTTAGTAAAAGTTAAATGAGCCATTTTCTACCATATTCACGGCAGTATAGCTTACATTTTTGAGGAGGAAGTTAAGAGACCAGTTTTAAAAGTTTTGACATAAAAAAAGTTATAATATTATTTTTAAAACTATTCTTTCTGCATTTACTAACTTTTAAAGAATTTATATTAACTAAGATCAACAAATGAACTGCACCAAAATGTATGTCAAGATATTTAAGCAACAAACACAAACAAATTGCATCTTTTCATTTTCCAATAGACCAAAACTCAAATCAATTTTAGATAATATTTATTAGTCTTTGATATTGTATTCCAACAAAACATTGTTATATATGAACTTCATTTTGAAGATAAATATATTATTAGAGGTGATAAATCCACCTTGAATTGGGTTTAGAAACCTGTTTCTTCCAAAAAATTTTGTGAACTTTTGCGAAAAAAAATCATCTTTACCAGTTTTAAAAACTTCTGGAAGTCCTCCTAAAAAGAGAATATTACAAGAAAATCAGTTGGAAATATTTAAAAAAAAAAAAAAAAAAAATGATACAATTATTTTGCAACTCTATTTGTTCTTAATTAGTTGATTTTTACTAGTTAACATTTTTATGAGATTTATAACCTCTAATATTTGCAACAAATGCTGAAATGGAGTTTGCTAATTTTGTGTTTTTGGTGATGTAAAGAAAATGTACAAGTGTGTAATCATAAAAAATTTTCAAACCACTTAAGGACTTGGTCTGACTGGTATTCCAATTTTCAATACAAATAATAATTGTTCATCTGCGTCATGTGCACTTATGTTAAGCAAGATTCTTGTTCAAAGTGGAGATTATAAATGTGTTCTTGCTCTTGGTAAGTAATGAAGTTTTATTTAGTATATAATTACCATAGTTATTATAAAACATTTAATTGTAAATTTTTATTTTTATTTTTTGGTGAACATTTTGAGGTTTTGAAAAAATGGACAGAGGTTTAACAGTGAAGTGGAATGATCGATTGCATCCTTCTCAAGCACATTTTGATTACATGAGAAAGTTAGGTGTTCCAGCTGAAAATATTCCATCTCTTGAAAGTTTTACTTCTGATGTTTTAAAGGTAGTCTCCAAGTAATTGTCTCAAATAATAAAAAAAAAATTTTTCTTTTAATCCAGCATTATATTAGTATAGCATAAATAACTTTCATCAAAGCATTTTTTATCATGAGATGATTTAAAATATTAGTATTAGTTAAGTTTAATTTTCCCTTATCAAAAATAAGAAATAATCTAACAAATTTGGGTGTTAGGGTGCTCCACCATTATAGGAGTAGAAATTCAAAATGAACTGGGAAGGATGAGCTAAAGATGAATAACAAAAGTTTAAGGTGCATCCGCAAATGTTTTCATATCGCACACATAATGTTTATTTTCTTAATGAATTGGGATATAGTTCAGGTATTTCCTGGCAGTGGGTTTTGACTAATTTAAGAAGGATCTCCTGGGCTAGAGCCATCACATACTCTGTTGCATTGGTCACAGCAAGCACCAGGGCTCATTTCAGATTAGTTTTATGTCAAAAAAAACATCAATGTGCAGCAGTTCATAGAACCTCTCTGTGTTTTTTGTTGTTAGAGAGACCACGGTCAAAATTTTTTTGGCCATCACAAAGATGATGTTAGGAATTAGTTTCTGAAGGAGGAGTTCTTCATCAAATAGTATCATTTCAAAGCTGATTTTTGGATAGATACTAGAAATGGTGATCTGTTGGTCTACTGTTGATTACGATATCTTTCTCCAGGGTTTAAGAATGATAATATCAAAACAGGAAGCACTATTGTTGAATGCGTTGAGCACCAGACACAAGCATAGTATTTTACAAAAAAATTGTCAGCTTTTTGACATTAATTAGTTGTGCCACACAATAGGTCAAGTGACTTCACACAATAGGTCAAGTGACTTTCAGTCAGCTTGAACTCTTTAAACTGCTAAAGATCTACCAATATATATATGTGTGTGTGTATATATATATATATATATATATATATATATATATATATATATATATATATATATATATATATATATATATATATATATATATATTATATATATATATATATATATATATATATATATATATATATATATATATATATATATATATATATATATATATATATATATATATATATATATATATATATATATATATATATATATGTATATATATATGTGTGTGTATATACAGTATGTGCCAAAATTGTCACCATGTTTGAACAAAAAAATATTTTATATATATTTTATTAGAAAAGCTGTGAAGAAAAATGAAATTTTAGTTTTATTAATTAAATTTAAGACTTAGCTAACTAAAAATATTGCTTTTTATTAAATTTAGAATTTTTTTATTTATTTTTATATGAAAAGCTAATGGTGACAATCATGTCGCGAATGAAAGCAATTAACATACTTGTCCACAGTTAATTAGGCATACGACATAAATTAATAGCCTAATGACTAAAATGATTGAGTTATCAACTTTTCACAGATTTTTAACAATTAAATATCATTTAAAGTTTGGTTTTGTTTACAAAACATAAAAAAAGTATTGTTATTATCGTCATGAGGAAAATAAATCTTGAGCTAGAAAAAAATATTGTGGAAAGGCTTAATTTGGACAATCTTATTGTGAAATCGCTGCTGAGTTTGGAAAGTCTCATAATCTCATATATAAAATCAAATTGCACAATAATCTAGAAGTAAATAAGCCTAAAAGTGGTTGAAGGAAAATTTTTACACCAATAGATCAAAGAACAATCACTCGTTTAATTGCTTTTGGAGAGTCTAAAACTGCAAAGGATGTTACTAATTTGATAAATAACAGCTATGGGACTCATGCTTTAGTGCGGACAGTCAATAGAGAGCTCAAAAGAATTGGTTTTCAATCCAGAAGGAAGATCAAGAAGCCATTGTTAGTTTCTCGTCACTGCCAAGCTCATTTAAATTATATATTACTTTATGCACACATGACTATTGATGACTTTTATGACTGGATTTGGACAGATGAAAGTAAAACTAATATGTTTGGACCAGATGGTATCCTTGGAGAAAGCCTAATTCACCATTAAGTGCTTGAGATTTTACACCAACCGTTAAATATGGCGGAAGAAAACTCTTGTTTTGGGGATGTTTCTGTGCTCGTGGGGTCAGTGAATTAGTGAAAGTTAATGGAATAATGAACGCTGATGACTATATCAACATCCTTAAGGTCGGATATTTCAAGTCCCTTGGAAAATGGGGCAGAACTGTACGTAACACGATTTTCATGCAAGACAACGACCCTAAGCATAAGGCTGATAAAACCATTAAATTCCTTCACGAGAGGAAATTGAAAGGCGTTGACTGGCCAGCACAAAGCCCTGATCTTAACTTTGGGCTTGTGTACAAGAGGTTTGGTACTCAATTACACCCGAGGAATGCCGCAAATTAGTTGCTAGTGTTCCTGAAAGGATTCAGGCTGTAATTAAATCTAAGGGAGGATACACTCGATATTAATTTACTACAATATGTTATTTGCTTTCATTTGCGACAAAATTGTCACCATTAGCTCTTCACATAAAAATTTAAAAAAAAATTCAATATCCTCTAAATTTAGTAAAAAGCAATATTTTCAGTTAGCTAAGTCTTAAATTTAATTAATAAAACTAAAATTTTATTTTTCTTCACAGCTTTTCTAATAAAATATAAATAAAATATTTTTTTGTTCAAACATGGTGACAAATTTGGCACACATTGTATATATATATATATATATATATATATATATATATATATATATATATATATATATATATATATATATATATATATATATATATATATATATATATATATATATATATATATATATATATATATATATATATAAATATATTTATTTATTTATTTATTTATATGTTTAACTCATAGTCAATTTACTCAAATGTACTAAGGCAGGAAACCAGGTTTATTTCAGAAAAAACTATATTTATGCTTTAGTTGATATTTTGTTAAAAAGTCAAATAAAAAGCAACATATTTGGTATTGCTGGAAAAGTTTTTTGATGCATTTTTCAATGAAATTAAAAGATATATTTTTAAATACTTATTTTAAAGTAATATTTTTAAATATATTTTAAAACCTACAAGATAGAGTTAGCGTTAGAATAAAGCCAATATTTACTGCAAAACGTGTTTGTGCACAAAGACTAATGCTAGTTTAATCCCCAATAGTTCCTGTTTTTGCTAATTTATTTATAGGTCATTTTGAAGAAAAATGGATAAAGTCATACTATGGAGTTAAGCCAGTATTTTACAAACGTTATGTTTATGACATATTTGCCGCATTCCCATCAGAAAATGTCTAACTTTAACTTTAGAATATCCGTTGAGCTTTGGTACATATAACCACATTGTGACAAATTCTTTTAAGTTAGCTTGCAACTCACAAATTAAAAAAAAACCAATTATATTCTGTTTTACAATAACAAAACTTTGTTTTTTTTTATTTCAAAAAAAAATTGATAAAGTTGGTCACGTACTTTACGTGCACATTTTGCAATCGTATTTGACAAAAAGTAATAAAATTTTCTAAATAAATTATGGTTCGGTTGCACCAATGCCAAATGTATTAAACATGACTCGGTATATTATATTCACTCTATATTCTCGGCTGTAGCTTTTGTTAAATTTATTATCTTATCATTTGTGTCATTTATAACAAACATTGCTTTTTAAATATTGCGGCAAATGTTTCAAATTTTGAAACAAAATGTTTTTTTTACAAAAACGTTATTTTTGAAATCTATGTTATTTTTCATATCTACGATTATTTATATGAATGTTATTAGACAAAATAGACAATAGAAAAAAGTACAATAATAAAGATATTAAAATATTTATCAAAAGGTTAACAACCTATATATAATGGTAACTTTTATGTGAAAAGTGATATTTTATAATGTTTGAACTGTTTGTTCCTGGATTTTTCCATTCAATGAACAAACTTTCCTTAATCTTAAGCTCAAATTTATTGGAGGTCTGGAATCCAATATCGAGGAACAGTCATTATTATAATCATAGATGAGTTTTTTCCGGGAATTCCGTAAATTCTTTTAAAACTTCAATTTTTCAGAAATTTCCGGATGGTTTTTGTTAAATATTTTTGAAAGTTTAGTTTGAAAAATTTTAAATACGACAACGTTTGCATTTAAACAAATGTTTTTTATAATTTAAGTTTTCACGATATCAATTTCCATAACAATTTTTTTATTTTTTTTTGTTATTTTTAATTCATTCAAATTTAATAATAATCATTGTTAACAATAGACACGGCAAGAATGTAAGCCATAGCCATCTATCATTAAATTGCAAGTAACACTATTTGCAGTTTGGTCGTTCCACTTTATTGGTGGACAAATGTGTTTAAGTGTAAAAAATATTTAGAGTTTAATAAAATTTTCAAGGCATGTCTAAGTATATTCAGTAGTCCTCACATTGAGCAATCATTCAGTATGATGAACACCATAGTTAACAAAAGATAAATCGTCTTGATACTTCAAGGTACTCAGCTATAGCTTCAGTTAAGTATCAAACAAGACCACAGCACTAGGGTACTTTAAAAGACGAGATGTATTATATAAACCAATTAGCAAAAACATCTGTGGTCATTTGCAAACTGCAAGCAAACGCTATTTAAAAAAATTTAATTCCATCGGAAAAACAGAAAAGTTGAAGAACGTTTTTATAATATAAATTCAACGCCAAAAAAAAAGATTGTCTCACATGAGCAATGCAAAAAAGTTAAAGAATTTATTAATGATTATGCAACAAAGTGCAGAAAAAGAAAAGCAGACAAATGTTTTGCAGCATTAAGTTATAAGAATAAAAAGTTTTAATTTCTGAACAATTGTCTGACATTTTATATTTAAAAAGTAAATAAATTATTACGCTATGCAGATTGTTTACGGTAAAACTGAGATATTATATTTGATTCAGTAGTTTTTGTTTACTTTATTTATCCTATTACCAACGTTCCAGAATTTACCCACATACCTTCGTCAAGTTGTTGACCGTATAAATTTCTGGGATTTTCTGGTTTTTATATTAAAAAAATGTTCTGGAATTTTCCGGGATTTTCATTGAAAATAATTTCCGGGATTTTCACAAAGTCAAAAACTCATCTATGTATAATTATTAAAACAATTATTGTTACGATGGAGATGTTTGTATATGTGTGAGTTTTTGTCTCTCATGTAATGTTCAATCATTCGTGTTTTAAGGTGGCGAAAAGTTTCGCCTATATAACAGGAGTTACATCCTGCGCATTCAAATTTATAAACAATGGATGATTTGAACTCTAAAGCAAGAGGATCCTTTGGTGAAAAGATATTAGAAATTTTAAAGGAAGTAAAAATTAAATTAAAGTTTATAGATTTACAATGTTTAAATTGCTCAATAAAGGTGTTACTATTAGTAGGGAAACACAGCTTTAAAACTTTTTAAGAAAATTAAAAAATTAAGATTTTTTTGATGATGTAATATATAACAAACTTTATTCTTCTGGTTCACAACCTGCTTGTATTTATGGTCTTCCAAAAATGCATAAATTATGTACTGAAAATATGAATTTAAGTTTCAGACCTATTGTTTCATCAATGGGCACCTACAATTATCAATTAGCTAAGTTTTTAAGAGATTTACTGTCACCTCTTATACCTTCAGAATTTTGTACAAAAGGTTCAATCAAGCTAACATTCATGGAAAATACTTAGTATCTTATGACGTATTCTTACGACTATACACTAATGTACCTCTTCAAGAAACCATCAATATTGCTGTTAATTCAATTTTAAACAATAATGACAGTCTTATAATTAACAAAACCGATTTAAAGAAACTCTTCATCTTTGCAACATCACAATCACAGTTTCAATTTAAAAAACAGACTTTTGACCAAATAGATGGTGTTGCTATGGGCTCCCCAATAGTTCCTATTTTTGCTTAAATATTTATAGGTCATTTTGAAGAAAAATGGATAAAGTCATAGTATGGAGTTAAGCCAGTATTTTACAAACGTTATGTTTATGACATATTTGCCGCATTCCCATCAGAAAATGATGCATGCAATTGTCTTGACTATATTAATAAAAGACATAATTCAATATCTTTTACTATGGAAAAGGAAAAGGAATCTAACATCTCTTTCTTGGACATTAATATAAACAAAGTAAATAGTTCCTTCTCCATTTTTCATAAGGAGACATATTCAGGTCTTCATACTTCCTTTTTAGTTTCATCTCTTTTTAACACAAGGTAAATTTAATTAAATGCTCAATTGATAGAACTTTTTAATTTAATAATGCTAAGCTTGGTTTTTATTATGACATTAAAAATCTTTTTAATATTATCAAAAGCAACATGTATCCAACTTGGCTTATAAATAAAATTTATAATTTTTATCTAACCAAAAAAACTATTCCTACTAATCAACACGAATCCGAAAACCAAGAAATTGTGAAAAACTACTTTACATTTCGTTATGTTGGTAAAATATCTGATCAAACAAAAGTTTAAACTCTATCATTAAAAAACATTGTCAACCCACATAATTTAATTCAATTTTTACCTTCTTTCAAATTTCTAAAATGTTTTCACCAAAGGATCCTCTTCCTGTAGATTTCAAATCATCCGTTGTTTATAAATTTGTATGCGCAGGATGTAATTCCTGTTATATACGCGACACTTTTGGCCATCTTAAAACACGAATGATTGAACTCTACAGGAGAGATATAAACTCACACATATACAAGCATCTCCATCCTAACGATAATTGTTTTAATGATTATAATAATGACTGTTTCTTGATATTGGATTCCAGACCTCCAATAAATTCGAGCTTAAGATTAAGGAAAGTTTGTTCATTGAATAGAAAAATCCAGGAACAAACAGTTCAAACATAAAATATCACTTTTCACATAAAAGTTACCATTTTATTAGTCGTTAACCTTTTGTAAAGCAATTTAATAACTTTTTTATTGTATATTTTTTTGCTATTGCCTATTTTGTCGCAATTATTAAAAAAATAAATTGTAATTTATATTTTATTACCTTATAATATTTGTATATAAAATTAAATAAGTTAAGATGACTATAAAATAGTCGAAACATGTATTGTAATTTTATTTGTTAAAAAAAAATGGTTTTTATAAATAAGTGGAAAAAATTAGTCTGATTTCTTAATTTTTTATTTATATTGTGCAGAAAAAAAATTTTGTATATATATATATATATATATATATATATATATATATATATATATATATATATATATATATATATATATATATATATATATATATATATATATATATATATATATATATATATATATATATATATATATATATATATATATATATATATCTGTGTGTGTGTGTGTGTGTGTGTGTGTGTGTGTGTGTCTATATATATATATATATACACACACACACACACTGGTTTAATGTAAAATAACTTTATTCCTTAAGCTTATTTGTTTTTATAAAATTGAAATTTTAATTTTATAGGTTTACGCTTATGGTGCTTGTGAACATGCCAAAAAATATGGAACTACTAAAGAACAGCATGCTAAGATTGCATACAAAAATCATTATCAGAGTCAATATAACCCTAAAGCTTGTCTACAGAAAGTTTTTTCAATGCAATCCATTATGTCTCAAGTTATATGTGAGCCTATAACTTTGGCAATGTGTGCCTTGACTGCTGATGGGGGTGCAGCAGCTGTTATTTGCAGTGAAGACTTTATGGACAAGTATAATTTAAAGGTTTTAAATTTTATATATATTTTTTTTGTTTTAATGAGCATCTTGAGTTGGTTTTCTTTCTTGCTTTTAATTTTTTTAATCCTAGAGTTGTAAATATTTTTTGAAAACTAAAAAACTAAAAGATAAGTATTCTTAATGTAATTTTAAAAAATTGAGAAGTTGTAATAAATTAAAAAATAATTTAAAAAAATAACTAAATATTGAAAAGTTATACAAAATGAATTTTAATTGTTCATTTTGTGTTTTTTTATAGCATGAATGTTGTAATTAAATAATGAATGTTGTTTTAAATCATTTTCAGTTATTCTTCATTTTCTTCTTTCCCTTCTTCATTCTTTTCTTCTTTGCCTTTTTACTTTATTTTTCATTCTCTTCTTCTTTACCTTTTTTTTTTATTTTTCTTCACTTTTTTAATTACTTTAACTATTTAATTTTAATAATAATTTAAAGTTTCTAAATTTCTAGCTTAAAATATATTGTAATATAAAAGGAGTTAAAATATATTATTATTTTAAGTATAAAATTAGTAAAAATAAAAGTAAAAACACTTAAATTTTCTTAATTTAGTTAATTTTTTCTTTATATTTAATCTAAAATTAATTTTTACTTTATATTTAGTTATTTGTTTTTTAAATCTGTTTTATTAATTGTTATATAAAAGGGTAAATTGTCTTTAAGAAACCCAAGTTTTTTGTTACTTACTGAATTTTCTTATGTGCTTAATTATGTCAATGACATAAAGCTTGTTGTTTATTTAAAACTCATCTATTGGTATACATTATACTGGTCCTTAGCCCTGCTATAAAATTTTAAAATTGAAAATCATTATGGGAATCAATTTAATTTTGTTACTTTTAAAGAAAAATTTCTATGAAAAATCTTGAAGATCAAATAATATATGAATTGATATATGAACTTTTTGAAGAAACTGTGGTCAAAATTTAGTTTTTCTCAATTAAAACTATAATAAATATTATATATACATATAATATATATTATATATATATATATATATATATATATATATATATATATATATATATATATATATATATATATATATATATATATATATATATATATATATATATATATATATAACTATGTTTCCAGACTTGCAGCCAATTAGAAAAGATTATGAAACAAATTATGAAACATCAACGGTAGAGCCAACAATCAACATTTTGTTTAGTGTAACTTTTATTTCTGACTTGTAAACATAAGAAATTTTTGGATTTTACAACTGATTGTAAAGCTGCAAAAAACTTTTAATGTTTTTTATGTTTTTTGGAATTATTAATTGGTAGTTCTATTGTTTATTTTTAACTTTTCAAAATTAAAAAACTATGTTTAGTTAAGCTATCTGTTTATTGTAAATAAGTCAACTAAATATACTCTATTTTAACAATATTTTATTGCATACAAAATTTCTAAATAAATTTATTGCTTTCAGATTATAATAGATTACAGTTTTAAAATGTCACAGCTTGCAATGTCTTTTTCCAAGGACATTGACATAAGGAATGACATAAAATTTCGGTATAAAGCTTGTATTCCTATAGGTTATAAGAACAAGATGGTTGAGAAATTAGAGATATTTTACCATGAGTATTAACTTCTCAAGAAATGTTAGTTTCAAAGATCTGTACCATAAGTTGTTAGAGAAAAAGCTTTCAAAAAAGATCTGAAAAGTTTGTTAGATATTGCTAGTGCAAATACTGTAACTACAAATAAGGAATACAGGGATCTTGCACAAAGAGAGCATGGTAGAGTAGGAGTAATGAGATCAATTGACAAGATACTTCTAAGTTTAAAAAAAGTTCTAGAGGCTAAAAAAGCACAAACTAAGCAAAGAAAAATCTTGGAATCTTGAAAAGCACTTGAAATAGCTGGACAACTAAATGTAAAGTGTAGGGCTGTCAAAAATTTTAAAAATGCCTGTCCAAGTACCTGTTGAACAAATGGTCTGGTACCTGGGTACCCATTAAAAGATATTTGTTATAATAGTTGTTCTTTTTCATTTATATTTAAATTTTATTTTACTTTAATAGTCCTGGTTAAATAAGTCCCAATTACAATTTAAAAAAACTAGTCCCTGTTTTGAGTGCCAAGGATGCACATCTTTGATTCATCACATGCCCAGCATGTACTTATACATGTACTTACCCATAAGTACATCCACATGTACTTGTGTGCTTTAATAGTAAGCTTTAGGTAACACTTGGTGTTATCTTGCCAAAAATGTTAGTGTTGTTGATTTTGAAAGGTAAATTGCAAGTTCATTCACATAACCAAGTTTTTCATTGACTATGCACAGCAATGTTATTTCATAAAACATGTACTCCTTTGGTAAGTTTAGTTCCAACTAGATCTGTGCTTGCTTTGATGTTGATGTGTCTGACACTACTTCGATGCTTTTTCCCAATACTGGCATAACAATAGCTTCCATTTCACTTCAAATAGGGAGTTTTAAATAGAAATGTTTCATTTTAAATAGGTTCTTCAAAAAATATTAAAATCTTAGAATGTGGAGCTTTTGGCCCAGTTAGTCAAGAAATTGTCAAGTCAAGAAAGTGCATTGCCATATTTATATTTGAGCCATTATCATGGAATGTAGCATTGGTTTTATTAACAGGAATCCCATAGTCATCAGCAGAATCCTGAAAAATAAATACTGATATTTTCTCTGATAATTTCGTTTGAAAAATTTTCATTCCTACAAAATTGTGGAATCCAAAACCCATTCCATGTTTACCCAATACAGATACACACATATATGCATCGTTTTGATTACTAGTCCGCATGTCAGTTTTGAATGCTACAAATTGCACCTTCCCTAATTTTAATTTCAGAGACTCAACTGCCTGGTCATATCTTTTTTTATTAGTATTGTGGTTGTTGAACAATCTTTAACAACATAATCTGGATCTGTGTAGTTCCAAAAGCTAAGGAATCTAGCACCTTCCACTAAACTTATTGGGTGTGCATCACAAGCAATTAAGTCTGCTATTTTCAGATCCATTGCTAGTTCTCCTTTTATCATTTTAGGTTGCAAAGCTGTAAAAAAAGACAATATGTTTGGTGTGTTCAAACTGCTGGTGTCATTAATATTTACATGTGTTTCAGTAATATGGTGACGGATAGCACTTGTATTACCACCTTTTCATTGGCTACATTCCAGTGCTCTTTTTTCAGTTATGCACTTCAATTTTAAGTTTCATTATTGAAATTTTAATTTGATTTCAATTTTAAGCACTAGTTAATCAAAATTATGTTAAACATAACATGAGGTTTATTGGACTTAACATTATAACTTAAGTGGGTTTCTGTATCAGAAACTTAAATAACTTTCTGAGTGTTTTCAGAAATTCTGATTCTGAAATCGTAACTATTGAAAATTTGAACAAGATCTTCTTTTGCATAATCAAGTTAATAAAGTTGTTATAAAATGATTTTAAACTTAAAAATAAATGAAATGAACTTTATTCTTACCAGATAATGGGTACCCATCAGTTAAAAATGCTACCCAGGCAATAACCAACAGGCAGATACTATTCTAGAAATAAGTCTGACTTATTGTTTAATCATGATGAAGAAGCAAGTTAACATCATCAGTCAACTTGCTTCTGTATACAATCAAAGAAGCAAGTTAATATCATTATTTGCATATTTATGGCAGCCAAAAAAATGCAAATAAAAATTTTTCCCTAGTAAGATTAATTAAATGCAAGTAGGATGTTTTTCTATGATTTTAGAAAACACCGATTTTTAAACTATGGCATAATTATGCATAGATCATTAGGTCAATTGGTATAAAATAGATTTGTGGCTGAGTAGCTCAGTTAATTAGACCTCTGAGGCAATTTTTAAAAGTAAAAGTAGCTGGCTTGTTAGTAAAATAGGTTTCAGATAAGTCATAAACAATCTGTAAGAAATCGGCTGGTTTAGGCTAATGAAAAAAATAAGCTGATACTGATTAATAACAGCTGTTATTGACCTTATGTAGCAGTATACTAAATAGAACAAAAATGTCAAATGTCAAGTTGTTAAATTTTTAAACAAATACCACTTCGGAGCATTGGTTGCCTAAATGTCTCAAAAATACTATTACATGAATTACACTTAAAAACTTTTTAAAGTACTGTAACTTTTATTTAACACTAATTTTGTTGACAACATTTTAAAATTTTTTATTTAATGTAGTACTTTAGGGTTATTGCTTTTAAATAAATACCTTACAACACATTTTTTTAAATACTTGAGTATTATTTTTGTTTTACACTTAAAAATTAATACTTCAAAATTTATACTTGTGTTTGCTACTATAAGAAGAATGCTATATGACTATACAAGTACTTTAAAAGAAGAATAACTTAAGAGTAAGTAATAACTCTAGACTACTGTGTTTAGTTTTACTGATATATTTAAGTTCAAGCCTTAGTTATATTAAACTTAACTAAGCAAGTTTTAAAATGTATGAGAGTTGAATTGCTCATATATATACATACACTATGTACTCATTTTCTTGAACTGCAAGTTGTCATGAATACAAGAAATCATACTTAACATAACAGAACTAAGGGATGAGTTTCTAGAGTTAGCAATAAGACCTGTCATGTAGAACATTCTCTCTATTGCAACACTGCCTGCTGTTGTGGCCAGATACTTAAATTGCATTTGGTTTTCCAGAAGTTATGGCTGTCCTTCTCATCTTCACTAAGTATATGGGACAGATAATTCTGAACCTGGCATTCCAAATCTTGGGTCTGATTAGCAATTTCTTATAAAGTTGGAATCATTTCTGCTAACAGTGCCAGTTTAGCACTTTTCTGAGGTGGTTCACTGACTTGTTGATGGTTTATGGTCTACCATACAGGTAATTTAGCTGTTTTTGCATAGGTCAGCAAGATGGTGTATATTTTATCTCAGCTAAACAAAACAAGCAAAACACTCAGATGGAGTCAACAGGTTAGTTTAGTTGATTGAGCTATCGATATATA